TTACTATTAACCACCAAGACAGATGAGCAAGATGCCAAGATAACTAGTGACAGTTTGCACAAAGTTTCTACTTTTTCCTCTAAAATGCTTACATTATCTACACTAATTTCTTTATATCAATCTAAATGAAATTAGAATGAATATATAACAATCATAAAGCACTTTTTCCTGCTTGTGAGCTGTTTGTCAGGTCCAGAACTTTTCTGCTCAATTTCATATAAAGAATGGACATGGTAGCAATGTGAAGTTGGCTTACATTTTCCTGAAACTCCTGGAAAAAGCTTTGTATAGGTGCTGCCATCTTATAAAGATGACTTGTGGACACTGGGCTGTAGGAATTTAAGTGACAATAAGTGGGTCCCACTAGGTATCTTTGAAAACCCCACACCCATTAAGGAGGAAGGTGAGGACAGGCTCAGGCAGTCATTCCAGGTTGCTTTCCATGTGCCTCTGCGTTTAAGTTACTTGACTTTCCTTGCAAAAGATTTTTAGATTTTTCCTGTCCTTGTCAGAGCCAAATGAAAAATAATGGAAAGTGACATTTTGGCTTAGTGTGTCTTTAGATTATTTTTAAATAACAAAACTTGCACAGATCAGAACCTCTCCAGTGTCTGTCTCACTTCAGCCTCTCATATGATGTGCCTGCAGAGAGCATTGTGCGTGCTTTGAGATTTTTTAATTATTTTTATGTTTCTTTTTAAATTCAAAAGCTTCAATTTTGGAGTTGCTGCTTGTGCCTTTGTTCCAGTTACTAACAACCCCTCACTCAGATGAATTACCAGCTGAGGCCCTGTCCTCAGCTGTGGCTCTATGAATAGAGGACAGAAAGCGTTCAACCACAGGGCTGCCCAGCCGCTGTCCGCACTCTATGCAGGAATTCCAGTATGCGCTGAACACAGGCTGCCTAGAAAAATGACCCTGGAATAGAATCTCCCCTACCCACAGATGACTAGAAATGTTGGCGGGTTTGTCACCCAGACTGTTGTCACCTGAGTATAAATTAGACCCATTTCTGGCCAGAAAACTTCAGCTATTACATTCTCCACTCTGATGAGTTGCTTGACATTTTTCTTTTCTTTTCTTTTTTAAAGATTGATTGATTGATTGATTGATTGATTGATTGATTGATTGATTTATACAAGCACTGGGTACAGTCAGAAGCACAGGAGGGTGAGAGAAGTCACCAGAGCCAGAGCAGGGAGCAGAACAGGCAGAAGGACCGAAGTACACTGCTGAGGGGAGCAGCGGGCGCGGCAGGAGAGGTCTGCGCGCCATGTGGGACCCTCGCCGGCAGCCGGGGATTGAACCAGCACTGCAGAGGCTGTGGGCAGCTTCGCAGCCCAGTGCTCAGCCACTGCGCCACCGGGGAGGCCCAACATTTTTCTTTTTTAAATTACAGAAGGTACATGGTCTCGTGTAGTTCTGGTCAAGATTTATGTGTCTTATTCTCCATGTAGTTAGCGCCTTGTGGTGGCTAAGAGAGGGGTCCTGGGTCTCCTTGCTGTGTCTCAAGTGGATATGGGGGAGACCTGGGCAGGAGCATGGAGGGGGCGTGTGGAGTGTGAATGGCACTGACTGTGAAGGCAGGATGCTCCGAGCCTGGTGAAGAGTGATGGGGAAGGTGCCTGCTTACAGGTTGGGGGCGATGCAGAGCAGCTCGACTTCTTAGGGGACCTCGGACAGCGACCTTAAAATATTGCCTGATGCATTTTTTTTTTTTTTGTGGACCTGATTAAAATGTTGGGATAGAAAATATTCAGCAAGGTTTATGTATAAACTAATTGCCTACTACTCTAAATCTGAAGATTTTATATCAGTGAACCCTCATTGGAGAAGATGGCAGAGCTGTTGTTGGGCAGCACAGTACTGTACTTACAATGCATTTTACTCAAAATATGGTCTGCTCAGGACCAATTACAATTCAAAACAAATCCTTACAAAGATGGCTGGTATTTCTGCTTAGCAGTTAGAGTAGACCAAAATTCCAGTTAAAAGGTCCAACCAAACAGCTTTGAAGTTATGTTATTCTTGGCAAATTAAAAAAAGTGGACTTAATTGTATTGCAAATGTTGCAAATAAAGTTAGCCTGGATTAATGTTCTATTTGCTGTTAAGACTGATATAAAATGCCACTTTACTATAACTTGCTCAAGATCAAATTCTATTAGTGAATCTGACTCCAAAGTTATGAGCTGTGTTAAATACGTTTCTTAAAAAAAAAAATCTATGTTGCTGATTGTTATTTGAGAAGTGGCAAGTCTAACTGGGTGGGGAAGATGTGCCCCTTACCTCCTTTGGGTCTAAAATGACCAAATGATCATCACTGCTGAGTAACCAGGGGAGGTCACTAAGCCACTTACCTTGAAATAGTTGATACATACACTCCAAGTGGGCCAAAAGCAGTCTGTTTAGGCATTGGAATGGACTTTCATTTTTCAACTTTACTTTTGGGATTGATGAAACACTTTCGGGAGTCAGCTCACCAATAACAGAACCACTCTTTCCTTTTCCACCAGTAGCAGCTACTTGGATTTGGCTGATAAAGTTGTGTATATATAAAGGTGTTTATATCTTCAAAGAATACATACACGTTTCCTGCCTGAATGTGTCCACCTAGGTGTCCAGAGCACATACCTCTTGTCTAGAGCCAGCATGGGAGTGTGGGAGTTGCTCACCCCTCTGCTCATTTACTTCTAGTTCCGAGCTATGGGAGTCTCTGGGGACCAGGGACACTGGGAGGGGTCTGGGGGGCCCACCGTAGGGTCAGAGAATGGGGTAGCAAATGCTTAGGGGAGATGTGGATTTATTTGCACACCAGAGCCTAGAACTATAGGACTATGTTGTATGTATTGCTGTATGTCACACTAACGTGTTACGAAACTTTATCAACTTCAAACATTAATCCAGACAGGAAGTTTTGGCAAATAACGAGTCTACAATAATTAAGACATCCTCCTCCTCAGTGTCAGTGTGATTCCTTGGCATGATAACCACATGGTAATTGATGTACTCCTGACCCTGTTTTTATTGTTCTTAAGCATCCTGCTCCTTTATACACTCTTAATCCCTTCCCGGGCTTGATGAGGCTTAGATGGCAACTCAGTTGAACCTATCAATTTCCGGGGTTTGTTTCTGCCCCGTGCTCAAATTGGCACAGAAATGAGTTACTGGTTATGGATGTAAGCGTTGCTTCTCAGCGCCTCCTTAACCTCCTGGTTTTAGACTGTGTGGAAGACTAGTAAATAGCAGGGAATGTACCCAAGCCAGGACCCATCTCCTATGGCTCTTGTCTAGAAAAACACTGATAAAATTGGCCAGAGTTGTTCTGACAGGCCCACTGGGGCCCACAGTGATCTCCTTCCATTGTTTCAGACTCGATGCTGTGTTTTCAGGAACCAGGAGAGAAGGTGAAGATTCACTTTAGCCGGAAAAAATTCTCTCTTCTTCTCTTTTAAGCAATGGATACTTTGCTGACACTTAGGGGTTTTGTCCCCTGGAATGTGTTAGCTCTTTCTTTATGGGTATGTTTTATAGATACAGCAATTTGTTTAGGATTTGCTTTGGTGAGTTTGTATCCGTTTTTTTTACAATATTTGAATCTGACTCCTGAGTTAGAACTCTTACTTCTTCTGGCATTGGTATCTTAGACTGAATCTTAGATCATCTTGGGCCATCAGAGGCCACATAACCCAAGCCCCCTTTTATAGAAAAGAAATGGAGGCTGGGATCACACAATTCACTGCAGAGTCAACTAAATGACAGGCATTCAGACCACTGACCATTTCTTTAGAGCTGAGCTGTTTAAGAATATATAATTATGTAGCATTGATGGAATACTTTTTCTTTTCAGGGCTTCACAGTAGAGAGAGGCTAAGATGGTAGGGAATCCAGCTTATAATTGTTTGTGGCTTAAGTGACTTTCATTATTGGCTCAGTGGTAGCTCTTTTAATCCTAATAGCTGCTTCTAGGGACGAGTAATTCCCTAGTCATTATAGGTGACTTCATTTTTCTCTTCTTTCTCAGCTAGGCTCTTCCTTTCTGGCTGCTACCAATTACCTTTCTCTAAGCCATCCTTTGCTTGGTGGTACCATCATTTGTTAAATTTTGCTTGTAGTAGCTTTAAAATTCCACCTTCTGAAGGATGTTCAAGCTCACAACCTAACATCAGCTCTGAAATGACATTGCATTGACCTTTAGATGTTCAAAGGTAGGATGTGGGGTTTACTGGCTGCCTGGAGACATAAAGTTTGAGAGATGGTGCTTAGAGTTTTAAGGTCACTCTAAGGTCAAGGTATCATTCAATCCTATTATTGTTCTAGTAGGTGGTGTGGCTCAGAGTTGTTTGTTCAATAGGCATAATACTTGAATTTCATTCCAATTCAGATTTTATGGGTCTAGAGTGGGAACCCAAACCTGCTTTTTAAAAAAGGGAGATTGAAAAAGGGGAGGCATCCCAATGATGGGTGACTGTCTAAACTGTTTTACAACTGTGGGACTGTCGTTGAACCCCTTTCCACTAGACTCAGTCATCAGGTATGACTTGGCTGTTGAACTTTATTTTTTTTTTTAAGATTTATTTATTTGTGCTTACAAGAACCGGGGTACAGGCCAGATGTGTGGAAGGTGAGAGGATTCACCAGAGATAGAGTGGGGAGCAGAAAAGGCAGCTTGACTGAAATACACTGCTGAGGGGAGCAGCAGGCGAGACGAGAGGTCTGCTGCACCATATGGGTTGCTCCCTGGCCAGCTGAGGGATTGAACTCGTGCTGCAGAGGATATGGATTGCTCCATAGTGCGGTGCTTAACCCCTTGTGCCACCAGGGAGGCCTGGCTGTTGAACTTTAATGCTGAAGAGTCTAAATTGATGCATGCAATTAAGAAGCCAGTAGTCACCAATAAATGTCACATAGCACCCAAGCAGACCGTGGTACTCAACTGTTCACCAGTGGGAGAAGATTGTCTCAGCTTTGTTAACCAACTTCTGTGGCATTTCTTCACAGGCAATGGTGGCTTGCTACCCAGGAAATGGAACAGGTTATGTTCGACACGTAGACAACCCCAATGGTGACGGCCGCTGCATCACTTGCATCTACTATCTGAACAAGAATTGGGATGCCAAGGTACTTTGTGGTAATCACTGCCATGAAATAGTTACTCCCAACAGAGTGTGGAGTTAGTAGCTAGAGGAAAAGAATTTAGATGACTTAGAGGAGAGTTTGGAGTTCATAGTTTGCACAGATCAATTTTTTAATCTAATCCAGACCTGATATCACTCTCAGTGTAAGGTAAGATGTAAACTGTCCCCTTTCAGCAGCAACATTGAGTGGACTTCAAAAAATTAGCACTATAGGATATAAAACCACTCCTAATGAAGGTCCCCCATGCAGTCCTCTCTCACAGGGTGAGATGTCTTATTAATGGACTCTTGCCATGGTTTACTATGGTTTGTGAATGCTAAGGACTTTGTAGCTTATTTTTTTATTTCTGATTATACAGATGAAATCTGGCTCCATGATTATAAATATGTGCCTGAAATTGGTATGCTTTCTGAAAGTTAAATATGATTTAGGAACCTGAGAAGTCAGATAACTTTTTAAGTTTATTTGGCTTTTGAACCTTATGCATCTCCATTTCATGTTCATTCAGGCAGATGCTTGCCATTATAAATAAAGAAAAACTCAACCTGGTAAACTAGTGAATTAGTGACAAGACTGATGTATTCTCCCTGTTTGGAATACATCCCTTAGGTGTCCTTTAAAATCTTGAAAGGTGGAATTATAGCCAAGGGGGCTGGCAAGTCGATGATATTAAATTGCAGAATGTAAAATCATTCAACAAATATTTGAGTGCCGGCTAGTGCCAAGCATTGTGCTCTGGCAAAACACTGATGTTTGAGGCCCAAGTTCTACCTGAACTGGTTACTCACTATAGTAGGGTACATTAGATGCACATGTCAAAAGAGATAACGGCTCAAGGAAGAGAGTAATATATGTAATAAAAGGTGTACATATAGGTGGTCTGAGAGTTCAGAAAAAAAGAACGTATTACTTTTAAAAAGTTCACATAGGAGCTAGAGGAGTTCAGAAAAATAGACATACATTCTAATTGGAGGGGAAGTAAGTGGAATAATTAGCCTAGTAAGCTATTAATATTATATCAAATCATATGAAATTGCTGGGGGGTTTTGGTAGGTAAATATCAGTTGTATATTGGCATTTCTGTGTGATTTGACCTAATAGTAATCCATATTGTGTCCATGGGCTTCCTGATTGTGTGGTTGTGAGACTTCATTTGGTCTAAGGTGAATAAGGAGATGCCACTAGCTAAGTCTGAAATAGAGTTTGGTATAAAGTATAAGGATGAAGTAAACCTGTGGGAGCCTCACCTGCTTGGAATGGAGGTTGCAAGACAACTTTGTTTCTTGATTAGGCTAAAATGTTATTGCTAGTTATGTGTGACACTAGGAAATACCTTACCTTCTTTGTGGCCCTCAGCTACATGGTGGAGTCCTGCGGATATTTCCAGAAGGGAAATCATTCATAGCAGACGTGGAACCCATTTTTGATAGACTCTTGTTCTTCTGGTCAGATCGCAGAAACCCACATGAAGTGCAGCCTTCCTATGCCACCAGGTAACCGTGCCACAATTCTTTTTCAACCTCACCTTCCAGAGAATTCCCTAAACTCGTGTCCTATGCCTACGGGAGACCAACCACTCCCCAAAAGTGATCAGACTATTTGGAGCTGATAAAAATTAAAGGGGAAACCTTGCATTCTGTAGTAGATAAAACCTAATGTCAGTTTGATCTACTAACAAATTATTGTCCATTAGATGAGCATATTGGATTCCAAATTTCCTAGTGTTTTTTTCTTCTCTCCTTTCTTACCCCTTAAAAAAAAAAATCCAATGTTGGTACACCCCTAGAGAATGTTGGCTATCAACATATCAGAAATTCTGTCTGGTTAACCATGGGTGAGTTTCTGAGTTGTCAGTTGCAAGCAGAGAAAGAACCTTGAGAAAAGAAAGAGGAATTTGTTTAGACTTCTCCTTTTTACCTTTTCCTGAAGATTAAAATTAGTTTGGGCTCACTCTACCCATCATGTCCCAACAACAGGAATAAAAAAAATTATTTCTTTATCTCAAGCATGGGAAGATTTTCAGAGTAACTGTATACTTTAGAATTATTTGGATATAATTCTCCTAATATCAAAATTTCAGAGTCTGCCTCTCATTTCCTTTGTTTTATGGTCAAAGCTATAAACGAGGCAGTATCAGAGTGTCGAGAACTTTTATCAGGAATAACCAATGGGGAGCGGGGAGAGAACTTGGGTAGAAAGGTAATGATTAAATCTTAACAAGCTTTCTTCTTTCTCCCCCTGCCCTGTAGTGTGTCTCTGGTTTATAGTTGCTTGTAGATTTTGATTTTTACTTTATTATAATTAGTATTTTTCCTGGTCCCTTATCTAGGTTTTCTAAATTCCTGCTGTGAGGGAGGCCATCCACTATTTTTCTTTTTCTTTCTGGCTTATTTCACTGGGCATGATCCCTTCCAGCGCCATCCATGTGCTGCAAACAAGGGGGGGTGGGAATTGTATGGGGACTATAACTAAGATGAAAATGCACACATTGTGCAAAAATAAAAATGATGTAAAAAATATGTAAAATTAAATAAAATAAAAAAAACTTAACAAGCCTAATTAAGATCACATGTGTAAATTACATAAGCCTTTTAAATGTCCCGTCCCTCCTCCCTGTCAGAAATCATACATCTGAACTCGAAGCAGAGTTAGATATTAAATGCCAATTGGAATTTGCCCTAGGTAAGCCTGTAACTCATTCTACCATCGAGTCTGCTTGTGGCTTTTGGGTACAATAATTGGGCTGTCACTTGATTCCCCAATTATTCCCTAGTCCCTTGATAGCCAGTCATAGGAAAAACATTAGGAAATTATGGGAAGCCATTAAAAAACAGTAAGTACTGTAAGAATGCCAGTAGCTAATAATAATTATAAAATGAAACTTTTTGAAAACTCAAGCATAAAATGACTCCTGTCTATCTCCTGGATGAGGTAAAATAAATTAATGGGGGCAAAGTAGAAAGCTTGAGGCTATCATTATTCCATTGTACATTTGTCATGATGTCCAAAATGAAGGAGTTTTAGATAAGTCATTCATTTAGATAAGTTATTCTTTAAAACTTCACTCAAATGGCAACTGCTCTCTTCTCTCTCCACCAATTTGGGCCTCCCTGTCTTTAGCAGAATGACTCCTTTCTTGGCTTTTCTGTGTAGATCAAATGGACCTGTTACTTTGTTGAATTATCTGTCTCTCCTGCTAGATCTTCAGCTCTTTACGGAAGGAGCTGAATTCATGTAGTCATTTCAGCTCCTATTGCCAAGAAAAATGCCTGCTGCATACTTGGAATTCCTTACATGTTTTATTACATTTAAGTAGGATTGAAAACAGGGAAGCTGTTTTTTTAAATTAAAATTAGGATGAACATCTAATAATAAGGGGAAACTTTAATTGTTGGCTTTTAAATGTTGGCTCTAATGTGAAATTTACAGTATTTTTTTATTTGGGGGTCATTTTCATTTTAAACCTCTTTTTAAATATCTGCTTATCTTTCACAGATATGCTATGACTGTTTGGTACTTTGATGCTGAAGAGAGGGCAGAAGCCAAAAAGAAATTCAGGAATTTAACTAGTATGTATCTGATAATTTTGTGTAACTTTTGATTAAGGATAACCCATGACATTTATACATATGTTCTATTATACTCTGTTAAGTCTCTGGTATGGTTTAGCTTCATATATAATGTTTTCTTGAAGGACTGGTTCTGAAACCTAGTCCTTAGCTTTGTTGGAAGATAAGAAAAATTGCGAAGGACCTGGCCAGGGACTGTTCACTGATTTTGTGATGGTTTATAATAGATGGAGAATAGTTAATTTTTATCATGAATATATACCCATTAGATTTTGCTCACGATTCTGGCACATTACAAGGAAAATACAGTGGAACCCAGTTATAATGTTAATTTATTGGCTTGGGACTGTGACTCTAAACTGGGTTCTTGTAATATAAACTGAATATGACTTTACACCATTCCTTGCTCTCCAACTAGAATGAAGAGGCAACATTTCCCAAAATATGTTGCATTGAAGCACTCATCTTGCTAGTCTTGGCAAACTGCTCTGCAAAAAGAAAAATCCCTGGCCCCCCTAATATGGGAAATGTTGCATTGACTCTTGAAGAGTCACAGTCCTCATTAGCATATTAAGTGAGAAAAATTAATTTAAGAAGTCCTGCCGTAAAGGTGGATGTAACATTGCCTCACTCAGGATCTATTTGGACTGTATACCTATCAAATGCCAAAGAAAAACCATTTTGCAAAGCTCTATCAAAAAGTGATTTGCTCTGTTCTGTTAGATGGGTGGCATTTGGGGTGACATAGGTGACATTAACTCATCATATCTAACTCTCTATTCTCTTTTCTATCCCAATCCAGGAAAAACTGAATCTACCCTCACTGAGGATTGACTATGCTTGGAAATCTGCAGGCTTCGTTCATTTTAGTTATGGCTCCTGAATTGTCTTTAAGAGTTGAGTTCCAAAGATGTCTTCTGTGACTCAAACTCCCTTTTACTGCTCATGTCATTCACATCCCTGTCTTGTCTATGGTACTTTGTGTTTTCTTGCCAAGACTGCATCGATCTTCAGACACTCTCTTTGCCAGACGGATTCATTGGCTAACTCCAAAAACACCTGCAGATGATCTAGCTGTCCGGCAGTTTAACTGGTAGATTTGATAATACTGGCTTATCCAAATGAGAGCCTGGAAGCATGGGCAAGGGAATGCATCTTACTTGCACTTTATGTACACATCTTCATTTGAAAGGAGGAGGTTTCAAAGAAATAACATGGTGACACATGCTACAGAGAGTCATCATTGAAGCCTTAACAGCAGGCAACAGAAATTTGTGTCATCCGAACAATTTCCAGATGTGTTTAATCCAGGGCTATTGGGGTTTCTGGAGAATGATCACAACCTAATGACATTATTACCTCTAGAAAGGGCTGCTGTCATAGTCATCAATTTGTAAGTGTCCGGTGGGGTGGACACTCCTCTTTCCTGGTGTGCAACCTGGACGTTCTGTCTCTGCCCCATTTTATTGAAAATATGACTTTCAGATCAAAGATGATACCACCATTTATTATGCATTTTTATACTTGGAGAACCTAACTAGACATTAATTACTTTGGATTGCTCTGTTGAAATGGAATTTGAATTTAAGTCAAAGGGAAGAAATATCTACTTGGTAGTACAGAGTCAACAACCGCTGATGATGGTGTTGTAAGACCTGGGTCCACAAATATGTAATAAACATGTGTATCTTGTACAATGTGGAGGGGAGGTGGAGTTGGAAATGTGGGCATTCTGATTTTTCAATTTTCCTTTTTAATGAATGCACCCTTTTTCTTTAATAAATTAACAAAAGTTAGGGTGCTGCATTTTAAAAAGGAAATGGAAATAAAGCAAAACAAATCCTGAAAAGCTGTTTGAATTCTTCCCTTCTCTGTTCTGCAATCTTTCTTTAGCAGACTTAACTCCAGATCTGCTGTGATTGGCAATGTGTCCAGTCATAGAATTTGCAGAACTTTGAAAGGTTCTACTACTATTGCAGTAAGAACAGATTCTGCTGCCTCAAGAGCTCTATTGAGCCCCTATTTTATGAAAGTTACCCTTAGTTTTTAATTCCACTTTCATACTTTCAAAATCCCTTTAATTTCTTGCTTAAAAATCCCATGAACATTTTAAGAGCCAGACAAATTTTCTTTTTTTTTTTCATTTAAAGAAATACAGACTTTCCAAGGAGGAATCTTATTTTTTCTCTTTTTTGGTTTTGGAAAATTTCCAGATAAGACTTGTTTTCATTTTCACAACTTCTATTTTTTTTTGGGGGGTGGTGGTTTGGAGGGGGTAGCACTTTTACCGCCTAACTTACTCTGTAATTTACTTATTTATTATGTTTATTGTCTTGGATACTTTGTCTAGAGTGTAAGCACAATGAAGACAGGGATTTTTGTATGTTTTTAATCAATGGAATGTATTCCCAACACCTAGAATAGTGCCTCGCACCTAGTTAAGGGCTCAGTAAAGACTCGCTGAATAAACTTGCTCTCCTATCTTAGAGTTTTAGTAATTTCTTAATTTCCTCCATCTTTGGCAGGAAGGGTTTGATAGAAATTTTGCACATGCATCTTTCTTTCATCGTCTGATCATAGTATCGTTTGGTCATATTACCATTTCATATTTTCTCCCCTGTTTGAATAGCTCATTGCTGCTATGCAGCTAAAAACTAAAGAATCCTGCCCTTTGCTCTCCAGGGGTTGTAGGAGTACCAGAAGTTGCAGGTAGGACAGTGTATATTCCCCCTTCTGACACTTTTGAAAAGTTCCATAAGAGAGAAAAAGACAGGGTATTTATTAGGAATTTTATATTCTGTAAAATTATAATTTTCCATGATTACTAATGCTGTGAGAGTGATAGTGACAGTGTTCTGAATGGAATAGCATGTCATTCCAATAGTGTGTCTTATATCTTTCATTTCAGTCTATATTTTGACTTGCCAAAAGATCTGACCTTTTAGACCTTGCTTATGCTTTCCTGACAATGGTCTGATAGATTAACAAACTATACAGTAAATCAATTTTTAATGTACTGATTTTTTATGGCTGAATTTGAGACCTGGAAATTTAACCTAGAAAATACAACTATGATAGTGTCTGCTTTTTCCTCCTGTCTTTGACAGCCCACTTAGGGGAGAACTTAGCCCTGCTGAAGAAACATTATTTGGCAAATAACCTGATCAATTTTCTTTATATTCCTGGCAATGAAATGTTAAGAGCCTACCTCAGTGTTACATCAACTATGTAGTGCACAGGCCTTGGCAGGAGATTAAATTTTGAACCAAAGATCCAATGCCACAGAAATAAAAAGTATTACCTAAGTGCATTAAGTAGATCTTTAGTAGAGTAGTTAATATCAATTAAATGCTGGGTTGTCTGAATCATGCATTATCCATTCAGACGTGATTTTGTTTTTCTACTTTAAATGACTCAGGTTTTTGAGAGACTGGATCATCTTAATTTCTTTTGGCCACTCAGTCTTGAAATTTCCTGTGTTTTAGAAAGCAATGATGGGAAGTGCTGTGCTAGGTCAGCAGCTTGTATAAAATAGGAGTTTGGACACGTCAGGTGCTTTCATAATTTGATCAGCGAGGAGGGCGGGCACATGGATGTTCTTGGTAAAGTTTTTTTAAACAAAAATAATACAAAAAAATTGACTGAGTTTCAGTCTTAATCTTTTGAATGTCATGAAAAGAATCCTGGTTAGCAAGTTGTTAGAGACTATTACCAAAAACGAGTGGAAATATATAGTTCTCTTCAAAATATAGCTGCCTGGAGTTGAATTTTGTTGGATGATATATACTGGTTTATTTTTAAGACTCAGTCTACTTTCAGACTCAATCTACTCCCATCCAAATAGGATTCTTTTTTTTTTCTTTAACATTTATTTATTTTTGCATGCAAGAACTAGGGTGTAGGCCAGAGGTGCAGGGTGGTGAGAGGAGTCACCAGAGACAGAGTGGGGAGCAGAACAGGCAGATCTACTGAAATACACTGCTGAGGGGAGCAGCGGGTGAGACAGGAGAGGTCTGCTGTGCCATGTGGGTTAGCTCCCTGGCTGGGGATCAAACTCTTGCTGCAGTGGCTGCTGATAGCTTCATAGTGCTGAAACTTAACCCCTGTACCACCAGGGAGGTCCCAAATGGGATTCTTGATATGCTTCTGTCTCATGTGTTCATGGGTTAGACCATGTATGAGGCCTATCCTTTCTATTTCAAGGCTGTCAACAGTTAAAGAGTCATGATACAGAACAATCAGTGAGAAGATTCTAAATACTCAGAGAATCCCCACATCCCTGGTTTGTCCTATGTGTTCTCACATGTGTATTCTTTGCGGCCAGCATGACACATTTGTTCTTTACACATGAGGGAGCACATGCAGAATGATTAGGTGGCTTGTTAAAGGTTACAACATGAAGATGGAGCAGCTCACCTGGATTTGACTCCAGAATTCTATCTCCTTGGTAATAAAGTCTTTAGTGACTCCTTCCTTCATTAGAGATGACACACAAAGCAGGAATGAGTGGATTTGGGATGGGGGGAACTTTAAATATTTTCTTTGATACTTTTATGTAATGTTTTGGTAATCCCAAAGGGTCTCATCCAAAAAAAAGTGAATTATTCTGTGAAAACCTCATGAGCAGAAAACATCCACTTCATGGTTGACTTCTGCCTTAGCTTTGTCATGGGATCTTTCCTACTGTTTCACAGCATCATGGAGGGAGGAAAAGAAACAGAAACAAGTTTCTCTTTTGGTACATCTAACTTTCCAGTTTGGGCTTGAGGTAGAGTTGAGAATGTCAGATGTGAGTGGAGTTCTGTCACTGATAACCACCCATCTCACTGATAACCCTGCCATCATGGGGAATACCTTCATCACTTTGGCATGACATTCAATGGAAATTTACCAACGTTCTTAATTCTCCTAGGCACCTAGTAGTCTACCTCATCTTTTTTCTTTTTTTTTTAACTTTTTTTTTGAAGATTTTAATTTATTTATACAAGAACCAAGGTACAGGCCAGATGCGTGGGAGGGTGAGAGGATTCACCAGAGACAGAGTGGGGAATAGATCAGGCAGACTGACGAAATATACTGCTGAGGGGAGCAGTGGGCAAGAGAGGAGATCTACCTCATCTTTTTAAGGTGGCTTGTAGAGGGGTGTCATTTCAATGTCTTCAAGACAGCTTTTTTTGCTACTTGACTCAGTACTGAAAAATCATCAGATTTCTTTTGAATCCTGTTTGTTTGACCTTGATAAACTTAGCACTTAGAACAGTCAACTTTTTTGGAAGTCATTGCAGCTTATGCTTCTGAGTGCTGAAATTTTTCAAAACAGAGACCATTTTTTGTGAGTGTGTTTTAAGTTAAACGTCTCAGAGAATGGCCTTTTGTGGTTATTGTCACAATTTTGCATAGCGATACACAAGCAGTTGTAGAGTGAAATTCATTATTTCAGGAGCTGGTAAACACTGGGTCATTAAAAATTAACAAGTAATTTTTGTTTTGCACCTTTTTTTGGGGGGGGGGAAATGGTGGATATAGAGGTAGAAGGTGACTTGGGAGTGAAGGATGGAAAAGAACATTTCAGAAACCTCCAGGGTAAGGGGAGTTAAAGAGAACTATGGTCTGGATATATTCAACTTGTTTGAAGAGAGGTTTGGAAGAAGTCCAAATTCACATCAGGTGTCAGGAAAGCTGTGTGGTTGGTTGGGAGTAGGGGTGTAAATGTTGTGATGAATAAGGTTGTGATGAATAAGGGGAGGATGAGGAAGCGAAAGCAAGCTGCTGGAGGTCTTAAGCATTTGCCAACAGCCTGGATTTTGGAAAAAATCACTGGGGACCAGGGTACCCTTTATAAAAATGCTGAAAAGTAGGAAATCCCCCAGAACCTTTTCCACAGACCTTTATTTTTCCGAAAAGGTATTAAATGCACATGGGAAAAAACAGCAAACAGCTTGAGAAAAGGCAGGAGGGTAAAAATGTCTCTCTCCATCTAAAACAGCCCCTCAGCCTGTCCTGCATCCCTCGATGGTTATCTTGCCCATCCTGGAAAGTTAGGCCTCCTCTCGAATGCTGGGCATGTTTGCTTGGTCATTTCCTCCTATTTTTATGCTTATTCATCCTGTGGCCTGTGTTCTCCTTGACAGGCCTATTTTTTTTTTTCCACCCTCCTGTGGGGAGAGATAACATTCTCAGGACTCAATTCTCATCTGATAAGTTTTATTTTTAACCATTCTCTATATCCTTTCCTCTTGGCTTCTTATTTTCCAAGCCCACATACGTCTCTGTCTTTTTTTGGCTCTCTCAGAAGGTGTGAACAGAACATCGGTTACAGTGTATTGTGCCAGGGGTTTTCCACCCAGGGAAGCTGCTTGGGGTGCTGGGAACCGGGCTGAGCCTCCCATCGCAGGGAAACTTTCTCCTCCACATGTGTTCCTGTTTTTAGCTAGGCCATTCACTCTTCCCTCCTGCTTCCCCTCTCTGCTGTCTCTAAGTTTCCTTTTAAGAGTAAATTTAT